AAATGAAGGTGCCTTTCTCTTTCCTGTTGCAAGACAAACTGCTTCTATTTTCAGATGAAACACAAATAACCTTCAAGCAGTCAGTCCTGATACAAAGAAGGAAAAGGAAACTAATTTAAAAAGAGTATGAAAATGCCTCTTTTTGTTTGTTTTTAAATATGGCTTTTTAATTGATTTTAGAAAGAAAGGGAGAGGGATAGAGAGATAGAAACATCAATGAGAAACATTGATGGGTTGCCTCCTGTACATTGAACATTGCATTGGGGATTAAGCCTGCAATCCGGGCATGTGCCCTGACTGAGAATCAAAGCAGTGACCTCTGACACTCAACCACTGAGCCACACCAACTGGGCTGAAAGTGCCTCTTTTGCATCTGTACATACTATTGCTATCAAAATATCACTAAAGAAATGCAAAACAGCCCAGCATACAAACGATAACACTTTGATTTCATGTATAAAGTGATAGTACCTTCAAAACTGTTTCAGAAAAGACTACGACAAAGGAGTTATGAAAGTATTTTTTTTCTCACAATGAAAACAGCTGCCCCCTCCGTCTAATTATATAGGTAAAACACGTTCATTGTTAAAAAATGAAAAAATGAGTACTTATTTACCCAAATATAATGTAATTGTTAAAATCTTAAGACACTCAAGGAAAGGAGAGGATATTTCCAATTCCTTTTAATACCAATTTCTCTTTAGTGATCCATGAGCGTAGCCTGGGAGAAAGGGGGGAAAATAGCTAGAGAATGCCGTTAGGATTCTCAGACCCTTCTCTTCTTTTCAGTTTCCATGCTACTTACTCAGCTGTTCTCACCTGAAGATCAAGACCTAGGCTACCCTGATGTGTACTTTGACCTAAGAGGAAGACACCTGGAGTAGGTTAAACGTTATGCTAACTGGGGTAGCCAGCTAAGGCAAAGTCCAGCATATGGATTTCCTACCAGAAAAAGAGCCTGAGCCTTCCTGAATTCTAAATTGGAAAGCAGGAGTCTTTAGATGACTTTCATAGCAGTGCAATGTTTGGTTTCCCCTTTATTTACTCAGGTGTACTCACACAATCCACTCCTACAGCCTGTCCATAGTCCATGAGGCCCATTACTTACTAGTTTCTCTGCTCTTTTTTGGGACTTCAATAAATTGAACACACTGCTCTCAGCCATCACTCTAATTAGTCTAATACATCATCTAGCTTTTATTTATTTTTTTTGTAGCAGTTACCATTCTCAAAAATTGTGTTCATTTATTTTTAAACTTATTTGTGTGTCTCTCTCTATCCATGATGAAACATAAGCCCCTAGAAGGCAGGAGTTTAACTTTGTTCCTCACTAAATCTCTAAGCTCCTAAAACATTGTCTGGCAGAGCAGTTAATCAGTTTTGCAGAATGAATGAATGAAGTAGATCTTACCATTTATAAACTAATCACCTGGAGGAAAAAGCTAAACTAAAATGTGTCAATAAGAAATTACAGAGATATAATATTATACACTGTGCAGATCATTAACTGAATAGAAACCTTAGCTAAAATAAACACTGCACCTTGGGAACATAAATTTTAAAAAGTGCTAATTATGTAGGCTTAATACAATTACATAGCAGGCCATGTGAAACTCTAGCATAGACAGAATAATACAAGAATTGATCAGGGTCAAAGAAGATACAAAAATGAATTTTAAAAAAGTATTGTTTACATTGAAGTAAAAAAAACCCAAACATTATTTTTTTGTTTTTAAAAATTGTTATGAAACTCACATAACTTAAAATTAACCATTTTAAAGTGTACGATTCAGTAGCCTCTAGTACATTCACAATGTTGTACAACCACCACCTGTATCTAGTTCCAAAACAATCTCATCACCCCAAAAGAAACCCCATACCCATAAAGTAGTCACATTCCTTCTTCCTCCCAGCCCTTGGCAACCACTAATGTACTTTTCGTTTCTATGGATTTATTTACTCTGGACATTTCATATACATGGAGTTATTCAATATGTGTCCTTCGTATCTGGCTTTTTCACTTAGCATAATGTTTTTGAGATTGATCCATATTTTTAGCATGTGTTAGTACTTCAGTTCTCTTTATGGCTGAGTAATATTCCATTGTGTATATATATCTCATATTTTATTTATCCATTTATCTGTTGATAGACATTTTGGCTGTTTTCAATTTTTGGCTATTGTGAGTAGTGTTGCTATAAGTATTTGTATATAAGTATTTATTTATGAAAGTAGTGCTTTTCACATTATGAAATAGTAGACAAAAATAAAGCCAATATCAGCTGGTGTAGCTCGGTGGCTGAGCATCAACCAGAAGATCATGGTTCGATTCCTGGTCAGGGCACATGCCTGGAATGTGGGCTTGATCTCTAGTAGGGGACATGCAGGAGGCAGCCAATTGATGACTCTCTTATCATTGATGTTTCTATCTCCTCTCCCTCTCCCTTTCTCTCTGAAGTCAATTTTAAAAAATACAATATGGATTAAAAATAAAAGTACAAAACTAGCAAAATATCTAAATTATTGAAATGTTCATCAATAGGTAAGAAATATGTCGATCATATGTTCAGACTTGGGAAAGATGTTCATGATATACCATTAACCTGAAAACATATTTTAGCAGAACTCAATATACTATATGATCTTACTTTTGCATTAAAAATTCTGTATGCATATGTTTGCTTAAGTCTGGTAGCATAAAAAAAGAAACTTACCTCTGATGAGTAAAATCAGGAAGGAGGAAATTTTTTAGCAATAAATATTCATTATAAATTTTAAGCAATGCATGAAAATAGAAAAAAATAGTAATAGTAAAGAAAATCACTCATATCCACAATTATAATTTTGGTATATAGCAAACTTCTTCAAATATACATTTTTCCCCTATATAATTAGTGTCAAACTGTTCTGTAAATATTTTTGCTTAACATAATAGTTTATTATAGTTATACTATATTCATTTAGATGTTAAATCTATTGATGAGTATTATTATTTTAAAAATTTACTAATAAATGAAGATATCTTGATGAAAAGACCTAAATGACTTTCAGATTACTCACATCAACATTACTGCTAGAATATTATTGTTTAAATGTCTTCTGACTAAATTTTTATATCAATTATTACAGTATAATTTCTATGTATCGGTTGTCAAAAGGTAGGCCGTGTAGCAAAAAGAGATTCTTAGATTTTTAAGTCATAAGAATCAGGTTCAGCTTACTTTGGTGATAGGATATTCAACTATTTCCTGGCTTATCTTCCTCATTTAAAAAAAGAAGGGGTCATAATTGTCATTTCAAGGTTACTATGTGAATTGAACAACCACATTAAAGTGTTAGGACATCAGCCTTCTCTCTATGTATACTTAATCTGAATAAATATTAAACAATCTAAAGAATCACAAAAGGTAAAGAAACGTAAATCTTTTAATTCTAAGAAACTCAGTTCTTTTCCCCATATGCAAAGTATAGCAGCCCTCAAGCTGCTGGGAATTCATGGGAAAAAGAAAACTAACAATACAATTAAACACAAAGAAGAGTTATAAAATTTCTTTTAGAATCAAGTTAGCACTGAACATCAAATCAGAATCATTTGAGGAGGAAAAATTTATTTTGTCTTATAATTTCTCTATCTAAGGAATATCTATTGGTGCCCACTGTGCACCAGTATGTTAGACACTGAAAATACACTGTTAAATAAGGCAGTTAAGACCCTGGTCTTTGTGGAGTTAACAATTTAATAAGAGAGAAAGGAAATAAATAAGTAAACAAACATAAAAATAATTATAGCACATGATAAATGCTAAGAGGGACGAACAGGATATTATAGTACAGAATAATGGAAGGAGAGGGACTTATTTTAGAAAGAATGATTAAAGACTGCCTGTCTGAAAAAGTGATCTTGAGTTAGCCAAGAGAAAAACTGGGATATTTCAGACATAGAAAATAGCAAATGCAAAGTCTTGATGTAGTCTAGGTATGATAATTAGAGCAAAGTGTGTTAAGAAAAAATGTTTGAGATAAAGTTGAAGAGGTGAGTAGTAGCCAGACGACAAAAGGTATTATATCTGAGTAAATAGTTTGGATTTTATTTTAAGTACCATAAAAAGTTACTAAGTGATTTAAGTAATATGACCTCGTTTTAATTTAAAATTGTCACTCTGGCTTCTGTGTACAAGATGGGATTCTAAGGAAACCAGAATAGAAGGAAGGAGACTAATATGAAAAAACTATTACATTAGCTCATATGAGAAGTGAGGGTGGCAAGGGCCTAGGGAGGTAGGAGTGGAAATTGGGAGGAGTAAATTGATTTAGGTTATAGTTTTGGAGGTAAAACTGTCAGGATTGCCAGATTGTTTGGATGTAAGAAGAGATGGGGAATCAAGAATGCATGAGTTGTTTATGCTAGAACAACTAAGTAAATGGAGGTAATATTTACTCAGACAAGAAAGGCTCTTTATGTCCATGATAATAAGTTCAATTACATCACAGAAGGGAAGAAAGTCACACTTAGATGGGCTAAAGAATGGAGGAATTTGGAAGGGGCAACTATTAAGTTGGTTTTTCCCATATGAAAATGGGAGATATGGTCTACAACTGCAGGAGACTGGGACAGGGCTAGGGAAGAGCGGTCAATGGAAAGACTGTTAAGCTGTTTTTGCCTTTTATGACAGGATTTACCAAAGCATGTTTGTTGACAAGAACAATCCAGAAGACAGAGAGAGACTGAGGAACAGGAGGATTGGAGTCTTGGATTAGTAGGAGTGGTTAGGATTCATACCACATACCAGCATCTCTTTTTATGTGTAAGTAAGCATACCCACATTTGTTAGAGGAAAGCTTAGACCTTCAGGGTTTCTAAATGTATTTTTATACTTATGGCTATGTAGATGACTGGATATTTACCATTGCAAAAAAAGACCACACAAACTGGGCTTTAAACAAGAAAAAAATTTAATATAAAATCCATATAACTTTTTAATTAAAAAAATACACTTTACCTCTCGTTTGTCTAATGCAGCATACTCAGCTTCTATTTCTTCAGCTTCGGGATCTCGTGAGAATACCATTTGGGATTCCAGATTAAGGGCCAAATCTTTGTGGTGTTGCTTTTCAGCACAATCACAAGGAGTATCTTTATTCTCATTCTCAGCAAACAAGTCTCCTCCATGTTTTACTAAAATCTAAAAAAGATTTTTTTCAAAAATTTGCAATGATAGATTTAAATAAGTTATTGTCATGTTAAAAATATAAAGCCTTTAATAAATGAAACACAACAAAAATGCAATGTTAGTTCATAAAATGACAATAAAAGTTATTTAGGTATTAGTTGCTTCTGATTTTAAGATTGGCAATTCTTGTTTATTAGTATTAAGATGAATACCTTTTGGTTAAAAATAAAAGCTACAACACCACCAATTTCTTAAACTTTAAAAATAAAGTCCTTTTTGAAAATTAATCTTCAGAGAGAGAGAATGAGAGAGGAAAGAAATATCGATTTGTTCTTCCACTTATTTATCCCTTCACTGGTTGATTCTTCTATGTGCCCTGACAGGAGATCAAACCTGCAACCTTGGTGTATGGAGGCAACACTCTAACCAACTGAGCTACCTGGCCAGAGCTTAAAAAGAAATTCTTAAGCATTCTGCCCAATTCAAAAATAAAGTTTTAGTTATCAATAAAACAATTTATAGTTATTCAATGCTTTCACTTTTATAAATTTCTAGGAATCATTCTTAAACAAGAAGGATACCAGTGATACTGTTACTTTAACCACAAATACCTGGATTTCCTGACATAGTGAACAAAAATTTTCATTTGTATCATTCCTTATTCAGTCAAACACTGAAATGAAATTAGGATGAGCAAATCACTGAAACAAAACCATTTTCAATATTCCTCAAAATAAGTGATAAAGGCTTCTGGTCATGATAGTAACATAGGTGACTGTGGTACACATGTCCTCTCACAACCACATCAAAATTACAACTAAACAATTATCATTGAGAACAGCCTGAAATCTAGTGGAATAACTATGGATGTAAAGAAGAAGCCACATCCATACTGGTAGGAGGGGCAGGCTGGTCCCATACCCACATGTAGCAGATAAAAGTTGGGAGGGATATCTTAGTTATAGAGGTTCCCCTGAGGAGTGAAGGGTTGCAGTTCCACACCAAGCGCTCTAGCCCAGGGTTCCTGTGCCAGAAAGAGAAATCCCCATAACTTCTAGCTGTAAAAACAAGTGGGGATTGAGGCTCAGGCTGCTGAAGTCCCAGCAGTTCTCTTAAAGGGCCCATGCATGGACTTGGACTCACTCCCTAGGGCAGTGGTCGGCAAACTCATTAGTCAACAGAGCCAAATATCAACAGTACAACGACTGAAATTTCTTTTGAGAGCCAAATTTTTTAAACTTAAACTATATAGGTAGGTATATTGTTATTAACTTACTTAGGGTATGCCTAAGCTGGCCTTTGCTAAAAATGTCCTCAATCTGATTGAGGTACATTTGCTGAGGTCGACCCCTTCCAACTCTCCCATCCACACTCGTCTTGTATACTTGTTTCATCTATCTCAGTGGTCGGCAAACTCATTAGTCAACAGAGCCAAATATCAACTCGCCCAGGCCAAAAACCGGCTTCTGTGCATGGGCCATGAAGTTTCAATTGCACTGTACGTGCATGCCCGCACGTGGTATTTTGTGGAAGAGCCACATTCAAGGCACCAAAGAGCCACATGTGGCTCACGAGCCGCGGTTTCCCAACCACTGCCCTAGGGCAGCACCTTGAAAGGTACCAGGGACCTATGGGAAGGAACTGAATTGTCTGGCCTGAGGGCGAGGTAAGAGGGGCAGCTTTCTGCCAGACAGATTCAAAGTTAGTTAGGGCTTTTTATTTTGATGTAGTCCCATTTGTTTATTTTCTCTTTAGTTTCCATTTACCTAGGAGCTGCATCAGTGAAGATATTGCTTCAGCATATGTCTGAGATTTTGCTGCCTGTCAATTCCTTATGGTTTCCCGTCTTACTTTTAAGTCCTTTATCCATTTTGAGTTTATTTTTGTGTATGGCGTAAGTTGATGGTCTAGTTTCATTTTCTTGCATGTATCTGTCCAATTTTCCCAACACCATTTCTTGAAGAGGCTGTCTTGACTCCATTGTATGTTCTTTGTCAAATATTAATTGAGCATAGTGGTTTGGGTCGATTTCTGGGTTCTTTATTCTATTCCATTAGTCTATATGTCTGTTCTTGTGCCAGTACCAGGCAATTTTGAGAGCAGTGGCTTTGTAATACAGCTTGATATCTGGTATTGAGATCCCACCTACTTTGTTCTTCTTTCTCAGGATTGCTGCAGCTATTTGGGTATTTTGGTTTTTTTTTATTCCAGATGAATTTTTGGAGAGTTCGTTCTAGGTCGGTGAAATATGCCATTGGTATTTTAATGGGGAGTGCATTGAATCTATATATTGGTTTGGGTAGTATGGACATTTTAACGATGTTGATTCTACCAATCCATGAACATGGTATGAACCATCAACAAAACAACAAGAAAGCCCATTTCAAGGGAGAACATATTTGCCAATGTTATCACTGTTAAGGGCTTAATCTCCAACATTTACAGGAAACTCATACAACTTAACAAAAGGAAGATAAACAACCCAATCAAAAAATGGGCAATGGACCTAAATAGATACTTTTCAAAAGAGGACATAAGGAAAGCCAAGAGACATGAAAACATGCTCAAAGTCACTAATCATCTGAGAGATGCAAATCAAAATGACAATGCGATACCATCTCACACCTGTCAGAATGGCTATCATCAACAAATCAACAAATGACAATTGCTGGCAAGGATGGGGAGAAAAGGAACACTCGTGCACTGCTGGTGGGAATGCAGACTGGTGCAGCCACTGTGGAGAACAGTATGAGTTTCCTCAAAAAACTAAAAATGGAACTCCCATTTGACCCATGATCCCACTTCTAGGACTATATCCCAAGAAACCAGAAACACCAATCAGAAAGGATATATGCACCCCTGTGTTCACAGCAGCACAATTTACCATAGCTAAGATTTGGAAACAGCCTAAGTGCCCATCAGCAGATGAGTGGATTAAAAAACTGTGGTGAAGGATTGGAACCAAGATGGCAGCATAGGTAAACACCTGTACTTGCTGCCTCCCACAACCACATCAAAATTACAACTAAAATACAGAACTATCATCCAGAACCACGGGAAAGCTGGCCGAGTGGAAGTACTACAACTAGACAGGTAAAGAAGAAAGCGCATTAAGACTGGTAGGAGGTGTGCAGACACGGAATAGGCTGGTCTGGCACCCAGGTGTGCCGCTTTTTTCATAGGGAGGGAGATCGCCTCTTTGGAGGCCGTCTGGAGGAGTAAGGAGTCCCAGCCCCACACCAGACTCCCTGCCCAGAGTTCCAGAGACGTCCCTACGGGCAGTAAGAACTATGAACTATAAAACCAAGTGAGGATTGGGGCTGAGTTACACAGCTGCTAGAGATGCAGCTGCTCCTCTTAAAACAGTGGTTCTCAACCTGTGGGTCGCGACCCCTTTGAGGGCCGAATGACCCTTTCACAGGGGTTGCCTAAGACCATCAGAAAACACATATATAATTACATATTGTTTTTGTGATTAATCACTATGCTTTAATTATGTTCAATTTGTAACAATGAAAATACATCCTGCATATCAGATATTTACATTACGATTCATAACAGTAGCAAAATTACAGTTATGAAGTAGCAACGAAAATAATTTTATGGTTGGGGGTCACCACAACATGAAGAACTGTATTAAAGGGTCACAGCATTAGGAAGGTTGAAAACCACTGTCTTGAAAGGTCAGCACCTTGAACTGAATTACAAGCTACCGGGGACCCAGACAAATACAGGGAGAAACTGGACTGTCTGGTATTGGGGCAGAAACGTGGGGGCGGCTTTCTTTCAGATGGAGGTGCTCGCAGCGGTCATTGTTCCTGTGTTGGGACCTCCCCGGTGCAGGGCGGACTGGCAGACATTTCTGTTCGCTCCACTCTGGAGATTCTCTGAGACCTCGCCCCACCCAACTTACAATCCAACAAGCCATGTGCAGTGACTTTTACATATTAATGGCTTGTCCTTTCTCAGTCTAAAACCTGTCAAACAAGCTGCAGCTGGGTCAGGGAGCCCCAAAGCTATCAATAAAAGGCCCAAGGCCAGTACCAGCACCAGCCTGCCTTGCTTCACCACTGGGCCTCAGTCTGGGCACTTCCAAACCCAATACAAAGAGGAGGAATCTGCAGATCTCCCTGTAGCTCCTGCTGGTGGTCCCAGGCAGTGGCTGAGTTTGCACCTCCTTGGAGACCCAAGAGCCAGTGTATCCAGTGGTCAGTGTGAGACCATATCAGATTACAACTCTTCACATCCATAAGTGACATACTCAAGGGGCAGACTTAGTGAGCACCAAAGCCCCACTGAAGCAAGTCCTGCCCCATAAGGGTGTCTCCTGCACAGAAGCTCTCCCACTGTAGTCGCAGCTGGTCCACACAGCTAATTGGCCTGGAGGTCAATTCCTTCCAGTAACACCAACAGCAATCAAGGCTCAACTACAAGTCTGTGCACACAGCCCACAAAGGGGTGCACCAAGAGTCTCCACCTCAGGTGATTGAGGAGGCTGAGCAACTGGGCCCTATAGGACACCTACTACACAAGGCCACTCTATCAACTCAAGGAGACTTAGCAGCTACCCAATACATAGAAACAAACACAAGGAAGCAACCAAAATATGGAGACAAAGAAACAAGTCACAAATGAAAGAAATGGAAGAAAGCCAACTATTGGATATAGAGTTCAAAACCACAGCTTTAAGGTTACTCAAGAATCTTCTAGAAACCTCCGAGGAACTTATTGAGACCTTCAAGGATCTTAGTGAGAATGCCAATAAAATGGAAAAGGACCAGTCAGAAATTAAGCATACACTGACTGAAATAAAGGATAATATACAGAGATCCAATAGCAGACTAAAGGGTCCCAAGAATCAAGTCAATGATTTGAAATACGAGAAGGCAAAAAACACCTAACCAGAAGAGCAAAAAGAAAAAAGAATCCAAAAATATGAAGATAGTGTAAGGAGCCTCTGGGCCAACTTCAAGTGTACCAACATCCCAATTATGGGAGTGCCAGAAGAAGAG